GGGTCACCAAAAGAAAAAACACAGCATGCCGCACGACGAGGCCCTGGCCGCTGCCAAACACATTAAGGACGTTGAAGAAGATGTATGCGACCTGTGCTTGTCTTTTGAAGCCTAAACCTCTAAACGCCTAAACCCCTAAAGCCCTAAATCCTAAACCCCTAAAGCCCTAAATCCTACACCCCTAAAGACCTTTTCTAAACCCCTAAAGCCCTAAATCCTAAACCCCTAAAGCCCTAAATCCTACACCCCTAAAGACCTTTCCCTATGAGCCCTAAGGCCCCGCCGCATAGGTAACCAGGGCTTGCGGCCCGGATAAATTGGGACATAGGCCTGGTTACTAAATAATCCGGTTACCAAGACTTTGTTGGAACCATAAGGCTTGGGGCTATAGGCTCTGTGGGGTAGGATGTCAAGGGCTTGTGGCTATCCAAAGCAAATTCTGGAAGCAATCCTTGCATGAAATGCATCGAGGAGCTCAAACCTATGCAAACTTATGATTCAAGTATGTCTTCAGAAGGCTATGACTTGTAATCGATCCCGACATCTGCATCCTGAGGGTGCGATTGTGTAATTCCGAAGCCCTTCACCACCTAGAAAGTGTACCACTTCCACCTCAGACCCAAGACCTTTTCCCTAAACCCTAAACCCTTTCCCTGCAAATCCCAACAGCCTTAAAGCCGCAAGGCCTCATCCTAGAAAGCACAGAAGCCTAAGACCCGAAAACCCTAAACTATAACCCTAAACTAAAACTCTCAAGCCTTAACCCTTAAAGCCCTTGCCGGCCATGTTTTTCATCTACCCACATGATGCGCGATCTGCGCCGGATGCTCAGCCAGGATCCTGTCGGGCGATTTGGGTGGCAAGCTTCGGGGCTGGTGTCATTATTAAATATGGAATCCGGGGAGTTATCATATGATCCTGCTGAATTTAATAGTTTTGGCACCATGTTGTCCTGAGGAAGCTTCGCTGCAACACACGCCTCTCAAATCCGCCTCCACGATTACATTCCTGACAAACAGGTTTAAGCAGGCCCACCGAATCTTCTTGAGCGAAACAATGCCAATAGCGGGTGTTATATCCTCAGCTCTGGCATTTTAGTGTACTATTGACAAGATTCAGATTATACCCGTTCTATGCGCTATAAACCTGCCACGAAACTCCCGAAACTGTGAAGCCCAAAACCGGATGATGAACTTTATGCTTAGATGCACACCGAGCTTCGTTCTGTTTTGCACTCAATCAAGAGTTCCTCCATTGCCTTATTGCATTGTTGCGCACTACGGATTTGCAGGCACTTCTTTCGGCACGTGTTTTTTTTTTTTTTTTTTTTT